GAGAACACTGCACAGTAACACATCGTTAACAGGTTTATGCATGTCAAGCAGTGCGTGCAGGGCCGGTAAGCGGTCCGTGTATCTTTTGGTCTCTCAGTTATGTTATAAAAATATATTTTCTTGTGATAACGGGATTTCGTTGAGACACATTTTCCTCACGCATCCATATATATTTTTCCAGCTTGTTATTTGTGATTAGTGTTGATTTTAAATGCAAGAAACCTGTTTATAAAACTTGCGAGGTAAATTTTGGCTGGTGCGCCTACATTTTTTAAAGTGCTACCAAGCAAAAATGTTAATTTCGAGCCCTGTGTTGTGTAGTAAATATAGTTAAAATATTGTGAACAGCTTAAAATAAGTTATTTCTATTGTTTGTGTGTGCTTTGGTTGTGGGGGGTCGCGAGTTCTTGACGATCTTACATTGGGGGTCGCTGGCTTAAGTTTGAGAACCACTGGTCTAGAGGAACTGTTAAAATCTAACCTCTTAAAATGAACTTTCAGATGTGACGGTGAAGGAGGAGAGTGAAGAACTGAATGAAGATGAGGAGAAACATCATGTCAAGAGTGAAGAAAAAACCCAATCAGAGACTGAAGATAGTATTTCAGTGAAAGGAACAGCAGTGAAAAGTCACACCTGCACTCAGTGTGGAAAGAGTTTCAGCTTTAAAAGCAATCTAAAGCAACACATGAGGATCCACACTGGAGAGAAACCTTACCAGTGTTCACACTGCGACAAGAGATTCAGTCATTCAGAAAACCTGAAAGGACACATGAGGAATCACACTGGAGAGAAACCTTACAAGTGTTCACACTGCGACAAGACATTCAGTGTTTCAATATACCTGAAATCACACTTGAAGATCCACACTGGAGAGAAACCTTACCAGTGTTCGCACTGCGACAGAAGATTTAGTCATTCAGAAAACCTAAAAGCACACATGAGGATTCACACTGGAGAAAACCTTACAAGTGTTCGCACTGCGACAAGAGATTCAGTGATTTAAGATACCTGAAACCACACGAGAGGATCCACACTGGAGAGAAACCTTACCAGTGTTCATACTGCGGCAAGAAATTCAGTGTTTCAAGATACCTGAAATCACACTTGAGGAGTCACACTGGAGAGAAACCGTATCACTGCACTGCTTGTGGGAAGAGCTTCACACATTCGTCTTCTCTACAGTTACATACAAAAAACTATCACAGTAAGTAGATCATCTAAAGGTCCAGGTTGCATTATTGAGGATAAAGACTGTCCCAGCAAATCCACAACTAGGCAAATGTGCCCAGATGTCGGCTTTTAAAGTAGTTCGAGCATCCTAACTCCTAAACATCTACAGTTTGCAGACATGTATTTTAGTCAGTATTGATTGCACTGTCAAGTCTCTCGAAAGAATCTGTTCAGAACTAACCTCTTAAAATGAATGTTTACTTCATTTTCAGATGTGATGGTGGTGAAGAGCGAAGATGAGGAGAAACATCATGTCAGAAGTAAAGAAAAAACTTTCACCTGCACTGAGTGTGGAAAGAGTTTTGGGCGCAAACGCAATCTCATTCTTCACATGAAGATCCACACTGGAGAGAGACCTTACCAGTGTTCACACTGCGACAAAACATTCAGACATCCAGAACACCTGAAAGTACATGAGAGGACTCACACTGGAGAGAAACCGTACCAGTGTTCACACTGCGAGAAGAGATTCAGCTGTTCAAGATACCTGAAATCACACGAGAGGACTCACACTGGAGAGAAACCTCACCAGTGTTTACGTTGCATGAAGAGATTCAGCTGTTTAAGAAACCTGAAATCCCACTTGAGGACTCACACTGGAGAGAAACCGTATCACTGCACTGAATGTGGGAAGAGTTTCACATCCTCATCTTCTCTACAATTACACTCAAAACACTATCACAGTAAGTAGAGCATCTAAAGATTCAGCCCTTCCAGGTCAAGATATTTAGGATATCTGTGCCATCCTCAGGAGTTGTCCCTAGTGGAATAACAAATTAAATATATATAAAGCATTGAAAACATTAGTATTCGTGTGATCAATTGACAATGCTGCCAAAAATATTGTAACATAGAATACTGAAGTTTATTAATGTGACTAATAGTGTAATTCGGGACGATTAAAGAAATTAAGACATGTTTGTATGATTATTTATAATTATAAAATTAGCAGTTAAATTTAAATTTACATTTAGTCATTTACATTTAGTCATTTAGCAGACGCTTTAATCCAAAGTGATATATATATATATATATATATATATATATATATATATATATATATATATATTTATTTATTTATTTATTTTTATTATTTTTTATTTTTGAGTACAGTTAGTGGTATAGCCAGAGAGGCAACTGCAGATTAGGCAGGGAAGTGGAGACTAAATAGTTGAGTTTTTAGTCGTTTCTTGAAAATAGCGAGTGACTCTGCCGTTCTGATGCAGTTCAGGAGTTCATTCCACCAACTGGGCAGATTGAACGCGAGAGTTCGGGAAAGTGATTTCTTCCCTCTTTGGGATGGAACCACGAGGCGACGTTCATTCACAGAACGCAAGTTTCTGGAGGGCACATACATCTGCAGAAGTGAGAGCAGATAAGAAGGAGCAAAGCCAGAAGTCGCTTAGTAAGCAAACATCAGAGCTTTGAATTTGATGCGAGCAGCAACTGGCAGCCAGTGCAAACGGATGAGCAGCAGAGTGACATGTGCTCTTTTAGGTTCATTTGACATAGCAGAGCTACATGATATTGGAAAAATATGACAATAATTAGTTTTTCTGTGATTATTTAGTGCAATATGATAGTTTTCAGACTTACCGTTGAGGAGCCAACCACATTCAGCTGGTAATCAGAAATTGTAGCAGTAAAATATTATGTCTCCATTCCCTCCTTCAGGAAACGAGGGTTACGATATTAACCAAGATGTTCTCTTTCAGGTCAGAAACTCATTACATCATTTTAAAAATGTTAAGGGTTACTGTATGGAACGCACCAAAGTTGCTGATTCTGTTACGTGTAACCTTCCAACATCCCCTGGTGCTTTAAATCACCAGGAACTTGGAATACTACAATTAACAAGGGAGTCGTAACAATTATGGATGATATTGCACGGCCACATGATGAAGGATCTGTACACAATTCCTGGAAGCTGAAAACATCCCAGTTCCTCTGTGGCCAGCTATATTCACCTGACATGTCATGTACTGAGCATGTTTCGGCGTATACGACAGTGTGTTCCAGTTCCAGCCAATATCCAGCAACCTTACGCATCCACTGAAGAGGAGTCGACCAACATGTTCGGAATAAACAACCTGATTGGCTCTATGTAAAGGTGACTCTATGCTCAAAACAGATACTGACTGGTTTGCTGAATGGCCACACCTGTCAGGTGTATGGATTATTTCGGCAAGCTTATGGAAAATGGGGGCAAATTTTTATTGTGCTTGATTGTAATTATGCAAAAAACAGTGGTTTAGCTAGCAGGGTTAGCAAAGCCTTAAGATAAAGTTGGTTTTATATACACACATTTGTTCAGTGACAATATGCGCTCTATATTGTTTACCATGGTACTTTGAATATTGGGATTAAAATCACATGTACGTGTGACTTGAAATCAACATTAGCTCTATTTATTTGACTGTGAACAATGTTTTACTTTGATAGACGTTGGTTGCCATTCAGAAGCTCCGCCACTAGTGGACACTAATGTAATCAATGACGTACAGCCGAGTCTACGTGACGGAGGGACTACAGTGTGTTGACGTCATTCACGATGGTGTAATGACCATTGTCCCGGGCTGACCCGACATATCACAAATATATAGTCAGAAGTCATAATTCAGTCAGTTAAAACATAACCATGATCTGACAGGATTCTTACAATTAAATTTTGTAACCCAAATGAAGCAAGTCTTCGGTTTACCTGTTGCTCATTTCATTAGAACTGAATCAGTTGTCCAAGTTTGGTTCAGACGGTGCTGTGATGTGTCAGTCAGAAAGATAAACTTTACACATTTAAGAAAAACAAGTTACTTAAACTTAATTTATTTCTAAAACTGTACTCTGACATATATGTTTTAATTTAATTAGCCTTTAAGTAGGCTAGTCATTTTTTAAATGTTACTGTTTATTAATCATCTTGTAATATTTTGTAAAAATGTTTGTTTACTGATGGTAGTTAGAGGAGCGCGGGGCACAAAGTAATGCAGGGTTAAATATAACACATAGTTTTAAGATATTTGATTAGGGTTAACCATGGCATGCTTCCTGACAATTATTACAGCATAAAAGTATTTTTTATTGTAGTCAATTTATTATTATTATTTTTTTAAAGTAAGAGTACGTAAAATCTTATATTGTTGTGACGACAGTGTTCTAGGCTAAAAGATGGAACCATTTTAAAAGATGTAAAAAACACAGTGACTGCTAGCCAGTTTTGGAGAAAACACCACACCACGGGGTTAGTTGTTACAGGGTGTTACAATTAAGCCACATGCACCAATTAAACTTACAAAATAATAATTTTTACATTTTGTTTATGATGTGGACTACTTTTTTATTTTAAAATGTTTTTAATAGAAAATATTTTTTTATAGGAAAAATATATTTTATTGATAATGCAAATAAATGCATGGTATAATAATGGAAAAAATGGGTGATAATAATGTAAATAGATTCAAATGTGTTTATCCAATAAATAAAAAAACATACTATGTAGAATAAAACAGAAATGAGCCAATTGCTGAGGAAATATAGCTACTATTTAAAGTAAACAAATTAAATTAACTGTGTGAAATCTGCCTTTGTAACCATGTCACAATTAACCTTCGATATATATATATATATATATTTATATGATGTTCTCTATTATAGGACAGTAATTTCACCTCACGCTTTTTCTCTACACGTAGCAATTGTTTTTGTTTTGTTATTTTGCGCGTTTTTGACCGTCCTCCCCCCTTGCGGCGATGTCGTCAGCACTGACGCGTTCATTCAGCGTCGAGTCTTCAGAGCTGAGGTGAGTCGTTGACGCTTTTTCTCGTGTTTACACAACAATAAAACACACTTTACAGTTTATTAAAGCGACAATCTGCGACTAGTTTCTGCATTGAGTTCACCTCTATCTGTGTGTCTGCTGACCAAAACAATACAGCAGGCAGAGAGCAGCTCTGAGAGGACAATATGAGTGAATGTGTTTGGGTTTTTTGTTGGTGTGTTCGTTTTTAACGATTGGAGTGTGGCAAAATATGATCTATGAATGTAATGAGAATATAGTTTAGCAGATATTTGAAGTTTTACATAAAAACATAACATATTTGTGGGTGCTCGCTATTTTTGTTTGGTAAGATTTGTCTTTTTTTACAAACCACATGAATGGTTTGCTATCAAAATTTTGTATGTGCGAATATTAGGTATTTAAAGTATATATAGATTTCTAAAAATTAAATATCAGTTGCTTAAACTACATTATTTATGCTGCAAACAGTATAAAATGAGCTGATCTGCTGCTATTTGAGTGTTTATAGTCTGAGGTTCATCAATATTATCAGAGCTGCTGAACTCCTCTAAAAAAATTGAAGGTCCCACTTTATATTAAGTGGCCTTAACTATTATGTACTTACGTCAAAAAATAAATACAATGTACTTACTGTGTTTATAATGTATTTGAGAACACTTGTGGTGCTTTTGACTTGGGATAGAGGTTGGGTTATGGATAGATTTAATGGTATGGGTAGGTTAAGGTGTAAGGGATGGTCAACAGTGTATTTACAAATGTAATTACAGATGTAATTACATACATGTATTTAATCAAGCATAAGTACACAGTAAATACATGTATTTACACAATAAGTACAATGTAACAAAGTATTAGTTAATGTGTAAGTACATAGTAGTTAAGGCCACTTAATATAAAGGGGACCAAATTGAAGACTGGTGGCTTTTTATTTACATGTTTACGTAACTATTCCTACTATTTTCATCTTCTGTGGGTTATGGATAAAATATGCTAATTCTAATAGTTTAAGCAGTTTATTTGACTTTTGGAAATCACAGAGCGACCCCATCTTGATCTTGACCCTCACTTTGGGAACCACTGATCTACAATATAATAAAGATTTATCAAATTAAGAGTGAATTATTCAGATTTTTCTGTTCTGTTTTGCTCGTCCTCCTTCAGTTCAGCTGTAAATACTGGAATATTCCCATCAGTCTACAAGTAAAGACGAGCATCAGACCATCAGGAAGAAGAGAAATCTGCAAAGACAGAGTTTATTGAAGGACAGTGAGAAGATGAGTGATCCAGAACCCTGCAGAATTAAACAGGAAGACACTGAAGAACTAATAGGTTTGTGTTTATTCATTACTCTTCAATAATGAGGCTGAACAACACTAAGGTTGTGAATCTTTACATTTTCACTCATTTTAGGGTTTTTTTCATATTATTTTTTATGCACTGCATCCTTCATTTTTCATGTTTGCAATTTTGTTTTAATTTAATGTCAGAAATATGAACTGAATTGAGCCTTTAATTTTGCTAAAAAACTTTTGACTGCATCAAACAATAATAATAATGAGCACATGTTCAGCGCTGTGTTCTGCTGGAGAGATGGAGTTTCACAGTGAGCTTTTAGCAGGGTTCTGCTTCTGTTGTACCTTCAGTGTCAGTGAAAGACAAAACTCACAAGCAGACAAATGTGCCCAGATGAGGCTTTTCAAATATGTGGAGCATTTTTACCCACTTGCACATCGATCTGGCCTCCCTCACTTCACTATTTTTTTGCACTGTTGATCTCTGCTGGAGCGCCACCTGCTGTTTACAGACTTAATAACTCGCCTCCTAAAATGAACTTATTTGCTTAATTTCAGATGTGAAGGAGGAGAGTGAAGAACTGAATGAAGATGAGGAGAAACATCAGGTCAAAAGTGAAGAAAAAACCCAATCAGAGACTGAACAAAGTATTTCAGTGAAAGCAACAGCGGTAAATAGTTTGACCTGCACTCAGTGTGGAAAGAGTTTCACCCGCAAAAGCGGTCTCAATGATCACATGAGGATCCACACTGGAGAGAAACCTTTCAAGTGTCCACACTGCGACTGGAGATTTAATAGCTTAAGAAACCTCAAATCACACATAAGGCTCCACACTGGAGAGAAACCTCACCAGTGTTCACACTGCAGCAAGAGATTCAATCATTCGGGACAGCTAAAATCACACTTGAGGATCCACACCGGAGAGAAACCTTTTGAGTGTTCACACTGCGGCAAGCGATTCAGTGTTTCAAAAAACATGAAAGCACATGAGAGAATTCACACTGAAGAGAAACCGTATCACTGCACTGCTTGTGGAATGACATTCTCATATTTGTCTTCTCTACAAAAACACACACTAAACTGTCAGAGTAAGTAGATCATCTAAACACCCACAGCCATATCACCCTGCAGCCCAAGACCGGCTACTCACTGAAGTTAAGCAGGGCTGAGCCTGGTCAATACCTTGATGGGAGATAGGCTTGGGCGGTATCCAAATTTTGTTACCGTCAAACCGCCTCCATATTTTACCCCGGTATCCGGTTTTACCGGCGTAATAAAAAAAAATTATGACGTAAGGCTCAGACAGCGTCACCAAACTGTTGGCTTAAGCCTAAACCATTCAGAAACTGAATACCTTCTATGCGACCTTCGGCTGGCGGTCAGAGAGAGAGAGAGATGCTGTGCATCGCTTTGCGCTCTCTCTCTCTCTCTTTCTCTCTCTCTCTCTCTTTTACACACACACACACACACACATCTCTCCCGCGATTTATTCAGAAATTTACTCCCACACCGTAAGAAATCTGGCCGGCTCCCGCGGAACAGCAGTTATACCCGATAGGTCCCGAGTCCGACAGGTACATTTTGATTGACAGCTTTATAAAGCCCGAACCCGTTTACAGCCCGATATTAAAATGTGCTCATGCACACAGCTCTAATGCATTTTTTTTCAAGAATGAGTCATTTATATGTTTTAACATCATTTATTCATAGCAAGCGTAGACTATAGACCACTTGGAAGTTGGAACAAAGAAATAAAATAAGTCCTACAGCTGTAACATCGTAACATCTCAGCACTCTATAGGTCTGGGCACATGCACTTAGCCTTTAAATTAGCCTACACATCAATGAAAAGAAATCGTGCTTAACAAATCAAATTAAAATAAACTCTAAATGGTGACGGGTATTTTGGCAATAACGAAATTAAGATAAAGTCTCTGCAAGATGTGTTTCTCCACTTCTCTTCACAATCTGGCATTAAGGCGGCGGTGAAGCTGAATAATAAAAGAATAATGCCACCATTAGTCTGTATACTCTGTCTACATTATGATTATATGGTTTAATTAATATTTATTTATAATTTAAAAACCCTTTACGCACCAAGATTAGGCTACGTGTGTTTGTGGAGGAACATTATTAAATCCACTGGCTTTAGCGCAGTCTCTCACTCATGGTGCGTCCAGCAGCTGAACACCCTTTCCTGCGGCTACAGGTCGAGATGCAGAGTTCTGATCCGGCTGAAGTTTTGTGTAGGATTGTTTGTTCATCTTCTACCAGTCAGGAACATGCATTTAATTTTCCATGACAGCAGTTTCACTTTAGCGAATGGCCTCCTCTTTTTACCTGTCAGCTTGCGGTTTAGGGCTCTACCGTAATACGCAGTGTATGAGCGACCGCGAAATACCTGCGGCTGGAATAACCGCTCCTTTTGAGCTAGTGACTGGCTTGAACGCCGTCAAAATTAGCTTTTTTTACTACTTCGTCATCATTTGTTTCACCTTTGCAGGGATGGATTTTAATGCAGGGATTTGGATTTTTTCGGGTCTCGTCGGGTTCGGGCAAAGATCTTCAGCTCTAATGCAGACCTCTCGTTCATATTAACCACGTCTCCCTTCTGTTCAGTCGAAACTGCCAAACTGCAGGACACTTTAAAGCGCGACTCGTCACGTCACCTCTCCCCCTCCCTCTCCCCCTTCTCTCCCTCCCTCTCCCCCTTCCTTTCCCTCTCTCCTCCACACTGTCCCGTGATGACAACCACACATACGTTTTTGTAGGCATTAAATAAAGGATATTTAATTTTATTCACACATGCTCCTAAACATTTACAGTTTGTGCACGTCTTTTAGTCAGTAATGATTGCACTGTCACGGCTTGAGCGTAGGTCTTAAACTAAATTCCTGGAGGGCCGCAGCTCTGCACAGTTTTGCTCCCGGTGAGTTGATGACTCTGTGCAAATCTACGACCCTCCAGGAATTGAGTTTGAGACCTATGTTCTAGAGGAACTGTTCAAATCAAACCTCTTAATATTCACTTTCAGATGTGACGGTGAAGGAGGAGAGTGAAGAACTGAATGAAGATGTCAAAAGTGAAGAAAAAACCCAATCAGAGACTGAACATAGTATTTCAGTGAAAGGAACAGCAGTAAATAGTTGGACCTGCACTCAGTGTGGAAAGAGTTTGAGCTGCAAAAGCGCTCTCAATACTCACATGAGGATCCACACTGGAGAGAAACCTTACCAGTGTTCGCACTGCGGCAAGAGATTCAGTAATTCAGCATATCTGAAATCACACAAGAGGATTCACACTGAAGAGAAACCTTACCAGTGTTCACACTGCGACAAGAGATTCAGTTTTTCACAAAACCTGAAGACACACTTGAGGACTCACACTGGAGAGAAACCGTATCACTGCACTGCTTGTGGGAAGAGTTTCAGACATATGTCTTCTCTACAAACACACACAAGAAACCATCACAGTAAGTAGATCATCTAAAGGTCCAGGTTGCATTATTTAGGATAAAATCTGTCCCAGCAAACCCACAACTAGACAAATGTGCCCAGATGTTAAAGTAGTTCAAGCATCTTAACTCCTAAATATTTACAGTTTGCAGACATGTATTTTAGTCAGTATTGATTGCACTGTCAAGTCTTTCTAAAGAAACTGTTCAGAACTAACCTCTTAAAATGAACTTATTTACCAAATTTTCAGATGTGATGGTGGAGGGGAGCGAAGATAAGGAGAAACATCATGTCACTAGTAAACAAAAAACTTTCAACTGCACTGAGTGTGGAAAGAGTTTTAAGCGCAAATACCATCTGATTTTTCACTTGAAGATCCACAGTGGAGAGAATCCTTACAAGTGTTCACACTGCGACAAAACATTCAAACGTTTAGGACTTCTCAAAGTACATGAGAGGACTCACACTGGGGAGAAACCTTACCAGTGTTCACACTGCGACAAGAGATTCCGCTGTACAAATGTCAGAAAAGCACATGAGATGATTCACACTGGAGAGGAACTTTACAAGTGTTCACACTGCAACAAAACGTTCAGATATTCAGGACTTCTGAAAGTACATGAGAGGACTCACACCGGAGAAAAACCTTACAAGTGTTCACACTGCGAGAAGAGATTCCGCAGTTCAAGTGGCAAAAAAGTACATGAGAGGACTCACACTGGAGAGAAACCTTTCCCGTGTTCACGCTGCAAGAAGCGATTCCGTGACTCCAGACAATTGATTAAACACGAAAGGGTTCACACCGGAGAGAAACCGTATCCCTGCAATGCTTGTGGGAAGAGATTCAGACAATCATCTACTCTACGAGCACACACAGTAAACATTCACAGTAAGTAGATCATCTAAAAATCCAGCCCTTCCAGGTCATGATATTTAGGATAATTGTGGAGTTGAAAAATAGTTCTTTAAGGTCATATAAAGAAAATCAAATGGGGCCATGGATAGACCCTTGCGGAACGCCACGTCAGAGACTTGGAGGATGAAAAGGTCTGTCCAACATCAACACAAAAAGCTTGACAAATAAGACCTAAACCATAGGTCTCAAAGTCAATTCCTGGAGGGCCACAGCTCTGCACAGTTTTGCTCCAACCCTAATCAAACACAGCTGATGCAACTAAGGTGTTCAAGAATACTAGAGACTATTAAGGAGGTGTGAGTTGGGACTGGTTGGAGCTTAACTATGCATAGCTGCGACCCTCCAGGAATTGAGTTTGAGACCATTGATCTAAACCAGAGGTCGCCAAACTTGGTCCTGGAGGACTGGTGTCCTGCATATTTTAGCTTCAACTTCCTTCAACACACCTGCTTGGACGTTTCTAGTATACCTAGAAAGAGTTTGATTAGCTGGTTCAGGTGTGTAAATTGGGATTGGAACTCAAATATGCAGGACACCGGCACTCTAGGAGTGAGTTTGGGCACCCCTGGTTTAAACCATTCAAGAGCAAAACCCTGAATGCCCACCAATTTTATTTTAACTGGAAAGATCTCATGGCTTATAGCAGGGATCACCAAACTTGTTCCTGGAGGGACGGTGTCCAGCAGATTTTAGATCCCACCCTAATCAAACACACCTGAGCAAGCTAATCAAGGTCTTACTAGGTATACGTGAAACATCCAGGCAGGTGTGTTGAGGCAAGTTGGAGCTAAACCCAGCAGGGACACCGGCCCTCCAGGACCGAGATTAGTGACCCCTGGCCTATAGTGTCAAAAGTAAGGTCAGGAAGCATCACAGAGCCCCTAACTAACAAAATGTCTGTCATCAAGTGTAGCAGTGCAGACTCAGTACTATCATGTGTTTTAAAACCTGATTGAAAAACTTCATGAACACCATTAAGCTCCAGAAAGCTCGACAATTGTGTTAACACAGTTTTCTCTAAGATCTTAAAGGGTAGTTTTGAAGTAGGTCTAAAATTGGACAACAGTTTTAGCCAAATTTGGCTTTGTCAGAAGAGGCTGTTTCAGTTGTGAAGGTAGCACTACAGAAACAAGACTCCTATGAATAATGGACAAAATACTAGAGCCAATAGTCTCAAAGGCCGTCTTAAAAAAAAACTTTGTTGAAAAATATCCAGTGGGCAGCTGAAAAGTTTTATCCAACCTACTGTAGGTTTGAAACTAACAAGTGCAGCAGAGGACACATCCTAATCAGGAAAAACATTATCGCAGCTAACAATTCCAGACGTAATTGAAGAAGTCTTAAGTGTAAAAAAGTTTTTAAAAGTTCCACATGTACAACCTGATTCCTCAATGACAACTTCTGTCCCAGAGTTAATCACAGAATTTATGTAGGAAAATAAAACGTCAGACTTATTTTGATATTTACTAAGTGAAGTTTATTTATAGACAAATTTCGAGAAGATCACGTGCTTATGATCACAGCGGTTCCAGCATTAGCTCATGACCAATTATCCTATCAGACGATTCCTAACTCACTATAAATAACCTGAGTTTTCTTATCTTAATATCTTCGTCTTGAAGAAACCCACCCAACCCTACTTTCCCTCCTTTCAAGCGGATGACACGGTGACTAGTGATAAGCACTGTTGCCTCACAGCAAGAATGCCCTTGGTTTAATTCCCTTCCAAACCAAGCAACATTTCTGTTTGCTCGTTCTCCCCGGGTCCTCCGGTTTCCTCTTAGTTTAAAAACAAGCACCCTAAACAATCAATCCAAAATATTTATAGCCAAGGTCTGAGTATACCTCCTCTCAGCATCCATATCTGACACTTAGCTTCAAATAAGCCAGGGGGGAGTCATTGAAATCTACCTCAAGTGATCAAACTCCCCTCTCGCCCTGCAGGGTGCCCAGGGCTCGAGGATCTTATAAGCTTAGGGCTCTATCCCGGGACAGCATGCCAAACAAGCTTTATCATCGATCGTCAGCTAAGTGTGAACTCTGAAATTAAGCCAGAAAAATATTTCCTCTTGGCTTCCTTCATAGAAGCCTGGTAAGTGGAGAGAGATTCCTTAAAGATTGCGTTCAGCCTTTCTGCAAGCCCGCCTAGATGCCTGAGTGGTCTCATTCAGTCAAGGCTCAGATGTAGGCTTAACAGTTCTAGTGTTTTCGGGGGCAACAGAGACTTTAATGAAAGCGGTTGAATAACTCCAGCAACTGGTCAACATCCAGATAAGAGGGTAAGAGAGTAACCCCGCCCTCAGCCCCTAATGCAAGCGGTTCTTACTTCTGATCCAGAAATGTTTTGGTGCTACTTTCATCAATCCCTTTTCCTGGTTCAGAGCTGCTGTTTTGTTTGTCAAAAGAAAAAGAACTGATTTGGAGCTAGACTCTGAGACATATCGATCTCTTGAGACACATCAGATCTAGTCACACTCCTAGTCTAAATGCTTACACTTGCAACTGTTTCAGCTCAGCTGGAGCTTGCTCTCTTAAAATGTAAATGTTTTCTTTGCTTAATTTTTAGACGTGAAGGAGAAGATGGACAACCATAGCATCCACACAACAGAGAAACTACATCTGTGTTCTGAGTGCGGAAAGAGTTTTGCAACACAGTCATATTTAAATGCACATCAGAAGATCCACTTTGGAGAGAAACCATTCACATGCACTCAGTGTGGGAGGAGTTTCAGATATTCATCACAACTGAATGAACACATGATGACCCACACTGGAGAGAAGCCACACGAGTGTGATCAATGCGGAAAAAGATTTTTGAAGGCTTCAAACCTGAAGGTCCATTTTGGAGTTCATACAAAGGAGAAGCCTTATCCGTGTCCTGTGTGTGGAAAAATGTTTGCACGTCCGTCACTTGTAAAAGAACATGAGCAGATCCACATTGGTGTTAAAAAGTATCAGTGCCTCGTGTGTGAAAAGAGCTTTCTTAGACCTGGAGCATTGAAACAGCACCTGAAGATTCACACTGGAGAGAGACCACACAAATGTGATCAATGCGGCAGAGCGTTTGTGAGGTCTGCACAACTAAAGTGCCATCTTAAAGTTCATGCAAAGGAGACACAGTCAGTTCTTAGATAGTAAAGAGTTTCACACTTTAATCTACCTTACTGAAAACTCTATTTACCAACATCAGATTTGATAGTCAACTGTTAGTATGTTAATAAACCCCAATCTTTTGTAGGACACACTTTATCACAATTAGTTCGGTTGCGCAATTCTGATTGGGCAGAACGAAAGTGTGCTCACTCAACTGTGTGCCACACAGATGACCGTCACGCATTTGCTCTGGGTGGGGGAAGTTAATTAATATACATTTCATTTTGCAGAATCTTGCGATTAGCTAGTCGCAATGTTTCAAATCACGATTGCGATTCGATTTTGATTAATCGCACAGCCCTAGTCACAACGTATTGACGTCATTTACGATGATGTAATAACTATATTGTCATTAGCCCATAAACATTTCCTGCTTATTATCAAGCTATTTCATAACTAACAAGAGGCAGTTCAATCATAACATAATGTTAAAACAGCTTTCATAACATTATTTTTCAATAAATGACTCTTTTTGGATTCTCGAAAGCTATAAAAATGAAAAAATATACAACAGAAAATACATTGGGACCATTGTTTTTGTTTACATCTCTCATATTGTCCGGGGCTGGGACTCAACATATAAGAAATATAGAGTATGTATGACTGTATACCAACATCGTTTTTCATTATGTTAGCTTTTAAGTAGGCTAGTCATTTTTAAATGTGTATTAAACTCTTCATTAATTATTTTAAACTTTATTATCTTGTGCTATTTAGTAAAAACGTTTGTTCGCTGATGGTAGTTACTCAAGGAACATATAATTTTGGTGATGTCTGTCAGCCATGAAGGATTACGTTTGCTTAGTAATTATTGCTGCTTTGCTTTTAGAGTGCTTAATAAACAGTATTTTCACACACTGATCTATATATGTTGTTCTCTATTATAAGACAGTGATTTCACCTCAACATTAGCAATTGTTTTTTTTTTTTTTTTTTTTTTTTTTTTATTTGCAAAAAAAAACAGTTGACAAGTTTGTAACAATATTTGTTTACAATGCAGAATATGAATTACATTGTCAATGAAAAGAGATATGAGAGAGAAAGACAGAAAAATAAAATAAAAATAAAGAACATGATATAAACTTGAGGGTAAGACATTTAAGAATCAAGAACAGTACATAAATTAAAGTCATTACAAAATGAAATAGTTCTGTTTGCTTTCTTATTTTTAGATAATGAAATTAATTGTATATAATGACTAAATTCTTGCAAAAACACAGGAAAATATGGTTTAGTATTAGTAAATTTGCATTTGTGGATATGGAATTTACAAAGAAAATAAATTAAATTTATAACAAAACAAGCATTTCTCTTAGTAGGGGCAGATTCATAATAACCAAAAACAATTTCTTTAAAAGTAACAGAAACATCTTGTTGTATATTATCATTAATAAATAATCCAATATGTTTCCAAAATTGTACAGCATAATTACACTCCCAAAATAAATGAATAACAGTTTCAGTATGAAATTGACAAAATGAACATTTTACATCAATATTAGAATTAAACTTTTTCAAAAATTGTTTTATAGGATAAAATTTGTTGATCAATTTAAAAGACACCTCTTTGACCTTGTTGGTGAGAAAATATTTTTGTTGCAAAGACCATATTTTTTCCCATATCAAATCTCTATAGATATTATTCCAATAAGAGATTACAGGGGACAATGTAGCAACTTTTTCAATAAAAAGAGATCTAATTTTGTAATTTCTATCTTTTTTGTTTGAAAAACAAATTTTACCCACAAATGTTTCTGTCGGATCAGAAAGGGACACTTTTTTAGGAGTGAGATGAATGGTACTTTTGAAGAGCATAGTAATTCCTGATGTTATAGCTCCCATAACAATGGCGAAATTTTTTGGACTTACTGGTATGTTATACTCGGAAATAAATTCAAAGTAATTCATTAAAAAACCTCTGTTGTTAAATAACTGACTAACTAAAAGCAAACCGTTGTTAAACCAATCACTGAAAAACAAAGATTTATTTTTATATAAAATATTTTGGTTATTCCAAATAGAAAATGTGTGAGGAGTAAAATTATGTTTATAAATTAAAGTCCAGGCCAGAAGTACTTGTTGATGGAAATTTGAAAGTTTAACAGGAATTTTGGTTATGTTATAATTACACATCAATAAAAACTTAATGCCTCCAACAATAGAAAATACCTGTTTTGGGAAAATATTCCAAATTGAGTCTTCTTTATGTAGATACTGGTTAAGCCAATTAATTTTGAAAGTATAATTTGAAGAGCAGAAATCAATACAGTTAAGACCTCCTTTATTATACGAATTTATTATAACAGTCTTTTTCATATAGTGGCATTTATTTTTCCAGACAAAGTCTGTTAAAGTTTTATCAATTAGTTTGCATGTAGGCTTATCTACGTACAGAGATTGAGCTGCATAAGAAAGACGAGACAGGCCCTCTGCTTTGGTGAGCAAAATTCTTCCTTTAATAGACAGATCTCTTTGAAGCCAACTATTCAATTTTCTTTTAGTTTTTGCAACAATTGGATTAAAGTTAGCATCACATCTATTTTTATCGTTAGTTATATTTATGCCAAGGTAAGATACTGAGTTTTTAACAGCTACTCCACAAATTGAGGAAACACCACAATTTTTAATGGGAAGTAATTCACATTTATTTAAATTAAGATTTAAACCAGATGCATTGGAAAATGTTTGTAGAGTATTTAATGCAGCCGCCACCTGAGATGAATCTTTTAAAAACAATGTTGTATCATCTGCTAGTTGACTTATAATTAACTCTGTACTTCCAATAGTAATTCCTTTTAAATTACTCCTTTTGATATGTAAATTAAGAAACTGTACTGCAATTAAAAACAAATAAGGTGATACTGGGCATCCCTGCCTTACTCCACGATGTAAAAAAAATCTTGGGGAAGTACCACTGCTTAACTTAATAGAGCTATTTATGTTTTTATATAACATTTTAATCATTTTACAAAAAGTAACACCAAACCCAATTTCTTTAAGCGCTTGAAATAAAAAACCATGTTCTAAAGTGTCAAAGGCTTTATAATAATCCAAAAAAAATATGAAACTGTCTCCATCAATCATATCAGAATAGTCTAGGATATCTAAAATTAATCTTATGTTATTAGATATATGTCTATTTGGCATAAAGCCTGACTGAGTTTCATCAATAATAGAAGGTAAAATTACTTTTAATCTTTTAGCTAAAACTATAGCAATTATTTTGTAGTCGTTGTTCAACAAAGTTATTGGACGCCAATTATCTAATAAATTTCGATCTTTATTTGGTTTGGGGATTAGCGTAATCAAACCTTGGCATAAAGTAGGTGGGAGAAAAGAGTTATCTGTACTTTCCTTATAAACACTTAACAAGAAGGGAGCAATATTTTTACTAAACATATGGTAAAATTCTGAAATGAAACCATCAGTGCCAGGAGATTTATTCCGTTTTAATGATTTAATTGCTTCTTCAACTTCTGTTAATGTGATTGGAGCTTCAAGAAAAGCCTGATCAGCATTCTCCAATTTTTTTACACAAGATAATGTTTCGAAAAAATCTAAAGCATTTTGTTTATTAAATTTAGAGGTGTACAAATCATTATAAAACTTAGCACAAAAATTAGCAATAGTCTTCTGGTCTTCACATATTGATTGATTAATTATAAGTTTTTCAATTAGATTTTTTTGCTGTTGTTGCTTTTCCAATCTAAAAAAATAAGAAGAATTCTGCTCACCTTCTTCCAACCATCTTTTCCGTGATCTAATAAATGCTCCCTCTGCTTTTTCCTGATAGATTTGATCTAATTTATTTTGATAATGGGTAAATTCAACCTTTTCACTATCAGACAAAATAGTTTTAGATAGAAAATCAGAAATTTTGCATATTATAATATTTTCATTTTCTTTTCTTTCTTTCGCTAATTTACTGCTAAATGTTCTTAAAAACTTTCCGATTTCATATTTTGCTAACTCCCAATTCTTTCCAAAAACATTTTCCTCGTTTGCTTTTTTCCAGTACTTGCAAATTATAAATTCAATTTTTTCATTTACTTCTTTATAGTTAAGCAATGAACAATTCAATTTCCAGTAAGAATTGATTCTACATAAGTTGGCAGTTTCTGAAAAAGGAATAGTTATCGAGATGCATCTGTGATCAGAAAAGGGTGATGGAATAATGTCTGAATTAGCCTTATTTAAATCTCTTGAGATAAGCCACAAATCTATACGGGATTGTCTGGAAAGAGAGTTATTTCCCCATGTGAAACATTTTTGATTAGGATGAGTGTCTCTCCAATTATCAACTAAACAGAATCGTTCAATGAAAGTTTTAAAATAAAGATTTGAGTTATCAGGTGATTTTGGAGGCCATCTGTCTAACCTATTATCCAATGCAACATTAAAATCTCCGCCAAGGATTAAAAAAGCATTTGGGTATTTAGTAAGTAATTTCAAAATGTGTTGTTCTATTAGATCAAGAAGTTTTTCATTTTCTTTTTGTTGATTAAACCCATAAATATTAACAATGATAAACATTGATTTGGATATTTCAGTTACAAGACAAATATAATGGCCATTTGAGTCACATTCAGAGCAAATAATTTTCCCATTAAATTGATTTTTAAGGATGCAAACACCAGCTGATTTGTTTGTACCATGAGCCATCCATAAATCTAAACCCCACTGAGATCTCCAAAAATTATAGTCCTCTTTTACAGAATGACATTCTTGCAAAAAACAAAAATCAGTTTTAAACTTTTTCATATACAAAAATATAGCTTTTCTTTTTAGAGTATTTCTTAACCCTCGTGTATTAAATGAAATTATAGAAAGAGACATAACAAAGAAGATATAACCTAGAATATTAAACTAGATTATTCTCAAAAAAGGATTTGCAAAGCTACATTCAGAACGATGAGAACTGCAAACTCTATATGAACTATAAAAATAATGTAGTGTTAATTAAGGTGCATAAATTTTACATCAAAGAACAAAAAAATTTTTTGTAAATCAGATTAAATTACTAAAGTATAGAAGCTACTCAGTTGAACAATTTTACTTTAGCCCATAAAGTTTTTATAGACTATATTCAGTGATATTTTTTTTTTTCAGGTGTGTTAATAGAAAAGTAAGAAAAAAGAATAAATAAATAAAATTGTAAAGTCAAATTCTAAATTGAGGCCCTTTTTGTAAAATACCCCTTTACTATTGGCTTAACTGTGTAAAAATAAGAAATTAGCGAAGTAAACTATTAAATCAGTTTTAATTGTCCTAAAAAGGCCATCAATTTAACAAAAAGACATTTTTTTTTAACCAACTTAATATTAACATCACACACCTTCCCATGTAAAGTCTCAAGCAGGAGGGAATATTTCGTTTCCCTCTACGAAAGCCCTACTTCCGATGAAGTATGCTCGTTTATTATCTTTTCTTGCTTTCTCCACTGCTGGCCATAGTTTGTTTCTTCTTTCTTTATCTGCAAGGGATAAGTCTTCTGATATTTTAATGTTATTTTCGCGCAAAAAGGCAGAGTCCTTTGCTGCACGCCAAACAGCATCGCGAAAGAAACGGGAAGCAAATTGTAGAATAATTCCTCTGTTCTTGTTTGGTTGCTTGCGACCTAACCGGTGTACAGTGTCGACGGCGCTGGAGAGTCTGTCCTTGTCCTCTGGTAAGAGATGCTGACAAACGTCTATAACCCTACCACGAACATCCTCTCTTTCATTTTCCGGAATGCCGTGCATCCTGAGATTCCACCGCCGCGAGTAACTTTCTAACTGTGACAGCCTTCGGTCGTGTCCCACGCACGTTTCCTCTACCTTATTCAGTGTGGATTCCATCACTCCATACTTGTTTTTCAGATGGTTAACCTCAGCACTCACAAATTCGATAGCTTCTTTCACACTTGTAATTTGTTTTGTATTTTCATTAATTACCTCCTTCATGGAGGTAATCGCTCTTGTGTTTTCTCCGATCACATTTTCTAAAGCATCAGAACGGGTGTTTATTAATTGAGAAAGAGCTCCGAGTTGGGAGAGAATGGCAACCTCCGAACTTTCAGTTTTCCGTTGTTTTGTAGCAGGTGATTTGCATGGAGTTTCTGGAAGTGCAGGGAATTCTTCCTCACACATCATAAATTCGTCAAAGTCCACACTAATTTTTGAATAATTGTGTAATTTTTCCGTTTCATAACTACATGAGGCTCCCATCGTTTCACTCACGTTACTGCTAACATTAGCAGCGTTAGCTGTCCCCAGAGACACGTTTTTGTTCTTCCTTTTCTCCGATTTACCCATCTTATCACAAACAGGGACTAATTCTGTAGTATTTATATTATATTCTCTCTTTGCACAGAGTAAAATAGCTTTCAACTAATAACACTACTAGCCAATTACAATGTTTGAGCTTACAGAGCACATCGATCCGCTTGTTGTTAGAGCGCCATCTTGGTCGGAACCCAACATTAGCAATTGTTCTTTGGTTTGTTATTTGGCGCGATGACGTCAGCACTGACGCGTTCATCCAGCGTCGAGTCTTCAGAGCTGAGGTGAGTCGTTGACGCTTTTTCTCGTGTTTACACAACAATAAAACACACTTTACAGTTTATTAAAGCGACAATCTGCGACTAGTTTCTGCATTGAGTTCACCTCTATCTGTGTGTCTGCTGACCAAAACAATACAGCAGGCGGAGGAGCTCTGAGGACAATGTGAGTGAATGTGTTCGTGTTTTTCTGTTTGTGTGTCCGTTTTTAATGATTGGAGCATCGCAAAATATGAACTATGAATGTAAGAGGAATGTAGTTTAGCAGACATCTGAAGTTTTACACAAAAACACTCGCTATTTTTGTTAGGGTTTTATGATTTGCTAGTTTCTTTGCCACGTCTATCTGTTGGCGATCAGAGTTTTTGTAGTATATGAATATTAGGTATTTAATGTATATATAGATTTCTTAAACTACATTATTCATCCTGCAAACAGTATAAAATGAGCTGATCTGCTGCTGTTTCTTGGGTGTTTATAGTCTGAGGCTCATCAATATTAACAGAGCTGCTGAAATCCTCTTTATTTCTTGTCTGTAGTTAATGTTTTTACTTTATTCCCTATACTGATGCCTCCAGATCTACTAATAGCAGACTACTTTCAATAGACTTAAGCAAGTAATGTAATCACTTATTGTCTCATCTACAAGACAAAACCATCATAATGATTTATTGATTCAATTAGATTGAATTAAGCTGATTTCTCTGTTTCTTCTTTTGCAGCTCGTCCTCCTTCAGTTCAGGTGTAAATACTGGAGTATTCGCATCAGTCTACAAGTGAAGACGAGCATCAGACCATCAGGAAGAAGAGAAATCTGCAAAGACAGAGTTTATTGAAGGACAGTGAGAAGATGAGTGATCCAGAACCCTGCAGAATTAAACAGGAAGACACTGAAGAACTAATAGGTTTGTGTTTATTCATTACTCTTAAAAAATGAGGCTAAAGAAACTATGAAACTCAGTTTTAGTTCCGTTTCTATATCAACATTTGTTTGATATTGTTATTATCCATGTTTGTTTTAGGAAAAGGCACTGCATTCTCAATTTTTCTTCATGTTTACAGTTTTGTCATTATATACAAGCAGTCAGACACATGTGCTGAAACTTTTAATTTTACCCGCTTGTTACGAGTTTAAGATGTTTAAGTGGGATGCTGTCAGGCCCAGATTGGCTAATCGGGAGGACCGGGAGAATTCCTGGTGGGCCGGTCCGTTTTTTGGCCGCGAGGGCCGGTATCCCTAGCTCCAGAATCGGTTGCTCTCAGCAGTCACACTTTTTAAATTTATTTATCTTTTTACTTGACCACAGCCTTTTTATTCATTATTTCACCGCAGCTCTACTCTTTTTATCTATTTTCTCGCAGCTCAGGAAGCAAGTTGCAGCCTGCAGGTTACTGAACAGCTGTTGTGGTTCAGTGGATAGCACATTAGTTTTCGACCCGCAGACCCGGGTTCGATCCTCGTCTGAGTAATTCTTTTTTTTTTCCCATTTTTATTGTTAAGACATATAATACTGTTAGGGTTGTTGAACATTTGAAGTTCTAAAGCAGCTGTTTTCTCAAAAAAAAAAGACGTGATAGTGTCATTAGAAACTAAATTGGAAATGGCCTTATTTTAATATAGTCAGTCGTGAACTGAGGTGGGCCGGTCTGAGGCTTGAAACTCCAGGGCTGAAAAGGACTCCCACTCCGGCCCTGGATGCTGTAACATTTAGGTGAGACAGGTGTAATGTGTGCAACAGATCAAGGATGAGGCAGGAATCATTTCTTGAAACTTTTTTTACTCAATACTTTAGTCAATATGTAACAATAATAAATCAATAAAAATAAATGAACATTGACAATTATTCTCTTTAAACAAAAACCATGAGTGTAAGCCAAATCAAAGAAATTAACAAAACAATCCTTAAATCTAACGTCTAAACTAGGCGACAAAAAGAAATAATGAAAATAAAAATCTAGATCTTCAGTGTACATGATACCCGAACTAAACTAATTACACTACAAAACAACACGGGTGGCAAAACACTCAAACTAATCTAACAAAAATCCATCTAAACTAAAACAAACCTAACAAGACGATCAAAGGCTCAGTGTAGAATGGAACGCCAACAAAGTTCAACAAGCAAACTTGAGTTAACACGGTAAACAGATAATGAATTACTAAACATCCTAAGCATGTCAAAAAATTGTGTGGAGCACAAAAGGTACGTCGAGGCAGAGCGCACACCACACACTGGTCTATCGGGGCTTTAAATGCTTGTGGTTCATCTGGGGACTGGTGGAACCACACAGTCATAATGCTAATGGAGAGATGCTGAACCAATAAGAAACCTAAGGGTTGAGTAAGAAGTAATAATCATAACTCCTCTCAAAGAAAACGCCTCTTGAATGCATCAAACATCATATTATTAGTAAGCACATGTTCAGCACTGTGTTCTGCTGCTCGGTAGAGAAAATTTGGTTTCTTTATTTGGACAACCAGGGGCCCGTTTCAGGAAGGAGGTTAAGTGAAAACTCAAGAGTATTTTAACCCTGAAATGAGAGAAACTCTGGGTTTTCCGTTTCAAAATGGCAGGTTTGTCAAACTCGAGAAAGCAGGGTAAGTCAAGCCTGTTTCTGAAAGAGAGGTAACTTTAACTCAGAGATAGTTACTGTGGTAACTTAATCTGTGAACCTAACCTGGTCAGGAGCAGGTTTAAATGTCTAAACTCAGAGTTTCTGTTGGTCTCCTCCCCTTTTTTTAAGACAAAGGGATATTACTTGCCTTAGCCTTATGTTTCCACTCACCTATTTTAATGCTAATTTTGAATATGCGATAAAAACGATTGATGGAAACGTCAAGATGCACATAACTTTTGAAAATACGCACAAAAACGCGCACATAACTGAGTAGGATAAACTTTTTGTCGATAAGAAAAGATGCGCATAAAGTGTGATGGAAACACTTTTACTGCACAAATTACAGTATGTGCATTAAAAAAGGTTTGTTATAAGAGATGATGGTAAAAATGTTTGTAAATAGACAAACCAGCAGGCTTAAGTGCATTGTAACTGCCCTAGCTGTTTCAGTATTAATGTGTCAGAGTGTCAAAACCATCTGTTCTCCGCGTCTCATGGCTTCAAACGCCCCCACGTGTTCATTGTGTGTCAGCATTGTCTTCTGAGGCGCAAGTACATTTATTAAGTAAAGAAAAGATTGACGCAGCTTCTTCTACCACAGTAAATTCTGTTTTTTCTGTTGATATTTAGCGCCAGTTAATCAGGAAGTGACGATTTTGTTCGACTTGATTCATTGGATGGAAACGCTACTTTTTAATAAATAATTAGCTTAAATTCACTGACCTTTGACATGTACTGTTAAAGATTAATGAGCTTATTATTCTTTCTAAAAACTATTGTTTATTTCTGCTTACATTCTAAAGTCTGGTTTATACTTCTGCGTCAAGTGTCCTGTCTCTGTTGGTCTGCATTAACACTTCCGAAACGCTAGCTGGCAGTGAGGTGTAAATGCTCCTCTGTGTCGAGTTTCTTCGCTGCTGTTTTGTTTTCCTGAACACTTCCTGGATGTACAAGTGGCTCAAACTCGCTCATTTTGAGGCAGGAACCGGCGGACGTGCAACAACTTTAACTATGAGGTAAACACAAAACAAAACTTTCCATCCGGAGCTCTTTCACGGTACTCCACACTTGTAAACAATCGCTCACGCCATTCGCGCGGCTCTCGGTCCCGCCCAGACTCGTCAGTGCTACCAAGCAGACCAATCACAGAGCTTGCGCTACGCGTCGTTGCGACGTGTAGTTACAATTTTTGAGAGGTGCACGTCAGCGACGCCGACGGCCACGGCGAAGGGCTATGCGTCAGCGCCGTAGCATACGCCGGCGTTTGACGCAGAAGTATAAATCAGCCTATAGTGTCATATCAACCTCTATCATTTGATCAATAATAAAGACGCACAAGTGCACTGTTAAATCCATTAAAACTGATCAACGAGTATAAAAGTGGGAACATGTATAAACATTTTAAAACCGTCACACATAACATTAATTTTTTTATTATACTTAAATATTTCAATACTTTAGATGTAAAATTGCGCATTAACTTGAGCAGCTGTTTTCCCATGCTCACTGTCTCTGTTTCACTGATGCAGTGGTGTTGCTTTTTTAAAATATATGGTCATATTTGCTATAACTTTGCATGAGCAGATCAAGTTCAGCTGGAGAAAGGAATGCTGATCTCTTTTTTTCAGATGTTGCCATAGTCACGGTGTGCACGCTTAACTTTAAGTTGGTCTACTCAAAGTTAAATGACCTAACTCAGATCAGCTATTCTAAAACCGAAAACTCAAGAGTTTTCAATCTCTCTGTAAATTTACTCAGGCCCCGTTTACACTAGAGTGTTTTAGTTTTAAAATCGGCGTTTTAGATCAAAAACCATCCGCGTCCACACTAGCGTTTCACCTAGCGTTTCTGAACATATCTCCGTCCACACTACGCCACCAAAAACGTATATCACATGACCGTTCGCGGAATCTGGGGATGCGTGTTCTAGTATAAACAGGAAGCATGTGTCTCGCTCAACATTTGTTTATTGTTAGTCAGCAAACGCCGGTTGAACAATGAACGCGATGGCAAAGAAAGCAAGAGAGGTGTTTTTGTGGACAGACGACGAGGTCGAGTTGTTACTAAACGTAACAAATGAATAACTGCGCAATGGCGCCTAAAACAGACAATAGTGTAAACAACGCTCCCATTTCTGTGCCCATGTTGTTGTTTACAGTGAAGGCTGGTCTGCTGTCTTCCGGTAGCGTTAAAGCCATGTGTTATAGTCATGTGATAGAGGCTTGACGAATAAGGGAAGGATAAGCAATGACACAAAAGCCCCAATCAGGTTGGCGAATCTCAGCAGCCCCACCTCCATTTTCAGATGTCTCCGTTTTCCCCCATCCACACTGAGACGGAGCAGCAGCGTTTCAGAATGAAAACGGCCTCTCCAGCGTTTCCAAAACGCTCTGTTTTCAGCGCTCGAGAACTCCGGATGGTGTAACCGTAGCAAAACTTATGCGTTTTAAAACGGAATTGCATTAGTGTAAACGGGGCCTCAGAGTTCAAGTTTGAACTCCGAGTTGGTTGAACCTCCCCCAGGAGACTTCCCATATGGCGGAGCTGCAAATCAAAAGTTAAAAAATTGTAGATTTTTTAGAATTATCGCTTTATTTTTTGTGTGATGTAATACACTCTTTGTAGCAGAGAACTCCTGTTTTTGATATGTTGCAGCACACGCAAGACTGCATGATAGAGCGAATCTTAAAATCTTAACATATAACTTAATCATTGAATTTTCAGATGTGCTGGTGAAGGAGGAGAGTGAAGAACTGAGTGAGGATGAGGAGAAACATCAGGTCAAAAGTGAAGATGAAACTGAACATAGTGTTTCGGTGAAAAGAACTGTGGAAAAAGGTTTGACCTGCACTGAGTGTGGAAAGAGTTTCGATCGCAAATACCATCTCAATCATCACATGATGATCCACACCGGAGAGAAACCTTACCAGTGTTCACACTGCGACAAGAGATTCAGACATTCAGGGTACCTGAAAACACACGAGAGGACTCACACCGGAGAGAAACCACACAAATGTGATCAATGCGGCAAGAGTTTCATACATTCAGGAAACCTGAAATCACACGAGAGGATTCACACCGGAGAGAAACCGTATCACTGCACTGATTGTGGGAAGAGCTTCAAAGATTTATCTTCTCTACAAAAACACACAAAATACATTCACAGTAAGTAGATCATCTAGAGATCCAGCCCTTCTAGGTTAGATTATCATAATTGTGGAATTGATAACCCATATTTAAAAGCACTATTTGATACGGTTATTTGTTTTCCTTTGTCTTTTGGTGT